AACCTTCTCTTTTTTATCTTTCCTATCATTCTTTCTTATATTTTCTAACAGCATTCATACATTTTCCTTTTAAACCTTAAATAGGCCGGGCTGTAGCTTTGTCACATGTTTCCGCCCGAAGAACCGTTGCGCTGATAGCCTGTTTAAAAGGCGAAACGAACGCCGGTAATCGACTGACCATCAGGCGCGATGCAACACTGTTCCAGAACTGGGAAGGTGGCTAGCTGGAGAAGAAAACTATGAGTCATAGCTAAGCAAAAAACTAACTGTTGGACGGGGACCTTTCGCCATCGTCACAGGCACCACCGGTGGCGTCGAAACGATATCATGGAAAAGGAAACTCGATGAGAGGAGCGCAAACAAAGAGGACAGGGAAGATCGGCTGACCGCTGAACTGGCCAGAATGAACGACAGAAACGAGTCCGAGAAGTCCGGGGAGGAACGACAGAATCAAGCAACGTCTTTCAGACCGTGTTTGTTCATCCCCCTCCCCGTTTCTCCCCTCCCAACGTACCCACAAAACCGAAAATCGGCAAAAACTCTACGACGAGGCTGCTTTAATATGGAATTTTGGTGCGAAACGCACCAGCATCGGTACCATTGAGACACCACAACTACTGTCCTGAGTGTCATTTCCCAGGGCGTTTGGGTAATGTCGTCGTTCGAGTGCCGGGTAACGTACCCCGGAGCACCGGGTAACGCCCGTCGCACGTTGCTCGGCATAGCTTGAAAGGTAGTGGGTGGCGAGGGCAACGGTGTGGTGCTAGTTTGAACAGCAGTGACTCGTGGCAGGGAAGGGGGGGCTTGGCACAATCGACTACTGAAACTCGGCTCGGCCGCGTAACACGGATTCGTTTGTGAGTTTGGTAGGACTAATGAGCAACCACAGCAGTTCATAGGTAACTTCACCCTAAGCTCTGAGTAACGTAGGTTTGGGAGTGATGGATGAAGAGGAGGGGAACTGTAGTGATGATGATTCAAGCAGGGGAAACTCCTGGGTCGGTGTAAAGCTGAAATATTGCTTAGTCGGGAAGTGCAGTTATACGCTGCTCAAGAGCAGCTGAGGCAGGAATTGAGGAGAGGGTAGAAGAGGGGTACAGGCATACTAGTTAGGAGCTCGAGCCAAGAACTGAGACAACAATAAAAAGAGGGGAACAACAAAGCATCAAAAAGGAAAGTAAATTGAAGATGAACAAAAACAACTGGAAATTATCGTGTAAAAGCCCATCGTCCATAGGCAACATCCCCCATTTTTATGCGTTTTTTGCAGCAATGCAATGCAAAAAACGCATATTGACGAGAGGTTGTCTGTG